AGGCTGAGTCAGAGAATGTGAGGAGAAGGGGGTTTGAAATCCAAGAGAGAATATTGTGTAGAATCTGGTACAGTGAGTCAGACAAAAAGGATAACAAAGCTATGATTAACTGTCAGGAGCACCGTCTCCTTTGGCTGATAATGTTCAGTGTGGTGGTTAAAGGGGAGAAGTCAGTTCCATTGCAGACAGCTTTCTGTGGGTGGGGATGAGTCTGACGAGGAGATTGATTGTATCGATGCATTGCCTTTACCGAGCCCGCCACGCCACAGTGATCTTGTCCAACAGTAACAGAGCAATGTGTCAAGGCAGCTGCACGGCTGGAATTACCCTCAGCAGCGGTGGCAGTGGGGATGTCAGACCGTGCTGGCCGGACAGGTGCCAGCATATCTGAAACGTCACGGAGTGAAGAGGGTTCTTCACCTGAAGAACGTGCAAAAATAACAAAATGTCATTATCACTGACTAAGTTACCAAACAATACCGTGTGTTGCGTGTGCCGGGCATTGCCTCACCTGGCCGGGCACTGGCTAGCTCTCACCAGCTCTGCAGGGATGAATCTGCTCTAGCCCCTGGACGGGAGGAGACCTCAAAGGACATCCCAGACTGGTCCAGGATTTGGGGTTGGCAGCCATCCCTTGGAGGCCCTGTTCCTGCAAACACTGGCATATATGAGAGCAACGGAGATTCATGGGTGCATATCGTCACCCTCCTGTGTCAGTGTTTGAAAGGATCAGGCCCCAGTGCTAGCTGTTGCTTTGTTGTTGGGATTGCAGGGCCAGAGACTCAGCTGGTGTAAAGCAGTATTTATGGGCTGGTCTACACTGGGGGGGGAGGCGGGATCGAGCCAAGATATGCAACTTCAGCTACGCGAATAGCATAGCTGAAGTCGAAGTATCTTGGCTCGAATTACTTGGGGTCCAGACGGCGCGGGATCGACGGCCGCGGCTCTCCCGTCGACTGCGCTACCGCCGCTCGCTCTGGTGGAGTTCCGGAGTCGACGGGGAGCGCGTTCGGGGATCGATATATCGCGTCTTAACGAGACGCGATATATCGATCCCGGATAAATCGCAGACGTACCCTGCGTGGAGCTACACTGATTTACACCAGCTGAGAATTTGTCCCATTGTCTTTTGAACGAGCCCTGAAGCCCGTGGAAAGGTGCAGTGGTGTTATTTGCAGCCTTTACTCCTATCACCAGAACAGTGGCAGCAAAGCAGGCCACACTATGGGCCTAGCACACAGGAGCACATCTGAGTAACTTGAATCCTGTGAGTAATAATACCAATCCCTCGCTCGTCCTTAGCCCTCAATGCGCTTTGCAAAGGAGGACAGAACCATTGTCTCCAGGCCACAGAGGGGGAAACTAAGGCACAAAGCGGGGCAGTGATTTGCCCATGGTCACTTAGCAGCCTAGTTGCTGAGCCAGGAATCCTCCTCTAGGCCACTCTAAATGGGCCCCAGGACTCGAGTCCAGTGGTCAGGGTGGCCAGTCCCTCTGCTCCAGCCACTCTCCCACAGCCCAGGCAGTGGGCTAAGAGCTAGAAGTGAGTGCCCCTCCTCCTCCTCTGGCCGACTCATTCCCTCCAAAGGGGGCCCAGGCGCCTGGCTCCCAGCACCAGGTTCCCATCCATGGATCACTCACTGACTCGGGCACTTGGCTCCGAGAGACGGGCGGGGCTTAGCACACACCCCTGTGGGCAATGTCTCCCATTGGCGAGCTCAGGAGCTCCCCGCCTAGCGTGCTGGCGTTTGGGGCTATCACTCTCCCCCCCATGCACAGCGCATGGAGCCTGGGCACCTAACTCAGCCTTGGGGATCGCAGCGCTGGTCTGGGATTGTCACGGCAGCAGGACGCTCACCAGTGCAATGCCCGAGTCCCTTCGCGGCTCCCACCCACTGCCTCCTCCAGTTTACTGAGCCTGCGCCCAGCAGTAGTCACAGCGCCTGGGGAGTTGTGTCTGTAGGCAGGGCCGGCTCCAGGCACCAGCCCACCAAGCATGTGCTTGGGGCGGCACCTGGAGGGGGGCGGCGCGACGCGGCGCTCCGGCCCGAAAGCGGGGCTGCGACTGGGCTCGCCGCCCTCCTCCCAGCGCTCTGGCCGCTGGGGAGAGTGGAGCTGCGGTGGGCTCACCACCCTCCCCCCGGCGCTCTGGCCGCCGGGGAGAGCGGAGCCCCGGCCAGGCTCTCCGCCCTCCTCCTGGCGCTCTGGCCGCTGGGGAGAGCGGAGCCGCGGCTGGCCTTGGCGCCCTCCCCTGCCGCGCTCCGGGGGAGGGGGGGGGGCGGCGGGAGGCTTTTTTGCCTGGGGCGGCAAAAAAGCCAGAGCTGGCCCTGTCTGTAGGACCGAGTCCTGGGGTCCCCAGTCCAGTAATGCACCTACTCAGCTTTACCCGCGCACGTCGTCCTACTCACATGTTTGAACTTCAACAGGTGGGAAAGGGTTGGAAGGACTGGGGCCTAAGATGGCACCGCACTCCCAGGCAGGGTCATGCTGGGAGCAGAGCATCAGGGCAGGAGAGGGCATTTCAAAACATGATTTTTTCCATAACGCTAAGAGATCATTAGAGCTGGTTGGGAAAATACAGTGCAGGGATTTTATTATTATTATTATTTTATTATTTGAGATTCTTTGCTAGCTTTTCAAAATGTCAAAGTTTTGAAAAATGTTGAAATTTCATTGCATTTCTTTTTTTATAGTTGATGAAAAAGTTTGACCTGTTCAATTGCTGGCTGGAATCCTGATTTGCAGTGAAAATTCCTGAGGTGGGGGTGGGGTGCTAAATCAAAATGTTGGGGGAAGGGGGAATCAAAAACTCAAAATCCAGGAAATTTCAACCAGCTCTAGATATTACTATGAAGAGTGTGACATCGTGCCCTCTTGTGGCTCCAGCAGGAATCTAGAGAGAAAGTGAGGAATAAAGAGATTTGGCAGTAGGACATGGAATCTCTTGTCATTCACTATGTTTGTCATCTGACAGTTAAATAAAAGCCTGTTATTGATACCTGAGACTCCCTGCTGCCTCTGGAATAGTATAAAGGTGCTACAGCAGCTCCTTAGTTAATGTTGTGTTGACATTTGCACTTAAAGCAGGGATTAAATCACTCTGTTAGGTATGAATAATACAGTGTCTCCTCACCTGACAGCATTTACTCTGAGTTCAGAATTAAGTTTCTAAGCATTTTCAAGTAAATATGTTAGTTTGTAAGTTGCATAATTTTAAAATGGATCCACTAGAGGCCCCCTCCCATCTCTAACCCTCTTTTTCAGCTCCCACTAACATATAACATCCTGATTTTGTTTAGCTAATATGAAAATTGACAATTCCAGGCAGAGACTATGTTTTTAAAGTGCTGACGTGTTCATTTGTGATCTAGTAACACGGTTGATTTAGAATTTCTATGTCACACTGATCACTGATGAATAGCTCTGTCATCAGATAGACGCTCCAGACTTGAAGCTTTGTGATTTTCTGTTCTGTGACGTGGGTGCTGAGGAGGTTGCATTAAAGTGAGCATGTTAGAAAGTAGTAATGTATTGGTCTCGTTGCATGTCATGGAGGTCAGGGGGCAAACGCTTGGAAATAGGTAAGGTGTTGGTGTAAAAAGTGCTTTAATTTAGGATTTCCCTGGTTTTTAGTGTTTTGTGTTGAGAGGGGGAAAAAACCCTGAGTTGTTTTTTTGTGTGAGAATATAAATGAAAGCCTATTGCCTTGTTACTAAGAATAAGAGTATTAACTTGTGGCAAAGAGGGCAGCGTTTGCTCCCATTTAATTAGTTCTCTTTCAGTCACTCCGCTTTGTAATCTCATTCGTGGTTCTCGCTTTATAGGTTTAATTTCACAAAGTTAATATGTCTGCATCATAACAAAAAATTCCAGGTCATAACCCGAAAACTGTTGCTACGTGCACAGAAGGCAGACACCGCACACAGATTCCTCGGAGAAAAAGCCCAAGATCTTCTAATTTGGTATTAGGCAAAGACTCTGTCTAAAGAACATGAGGCCAGACTATTTCATTTCATTCTTTTTATGTACAGAGTTCCCTCAATAAGAGATTTTCAATTATTCTTCTAAGTAGCAATATTTCCCCTCTTTAACAGGTGCACAAAGGATTTTGTTTTTAAGAGGCACTGAGAGGGAGGATGGTTGTGTTGTTAAGACACAGGACAGGGATTCTGATCAGGTCCCATCTCTACCACTGATTCACTATGTGAGCTGGGGTAAGTCGCTTAATGGCTCCGTGACTCAGTTTTCCCAGCTGTAAAATGTGAATAGTAATTCTGCCCTACACCACATTGGGTGCTGCAAAGTTTAATTAATGAATTAATGATTCTGAGGTGCTCAGACCCTGCAGGGATAGGAACCATCACCAACCAAGTAAGGTAATAGCAGAACCTAAACTGGGCTAAATATGTACTTATCAGACCATAAACTGCAAAGATTGTTCCGGGTTGGGATTTTTCCTTTTCTTGTGTTTCCTTTATGAATGCTCCAAAACTGGTCTAGGGCTGGCTGGCTGGTGATTTCTTCCCTCACACCCACACACTCAGCCATTGCCCGCCTGCCATCTCAGCAGCTGATCTCAGCCCACCACGGATCCCCAAAGCGAAAGACATCTGCATCCCCCTCTACCCCTGCCCCCATGTGCTTCTATTCAGGTCTTTCCTGCAGAAAGGAGGCCATTCCTATGCCTCACTCCTTATGGCTTCAAAACAACCTGCTTATTGAGATGCCAGAATACGGGATGAAAGACACAATAAAAATATATTGTGTCCTGAGCTCCATTATGTCCAGATCCATTACGAGTCCAGTCCTCCTCCCACTGAGGTCAATGGCATTTGGGCCAGGGCATTACAATACACAATGTTACTCATCATGTCAGAGACAGGTTTCAGAGTAGCCGCCGTGTTAGTCTGTATCCGCAAAAAGAACAGGAGTACTTGTGGCACCTTAGAGACTAACAAATTTATTATAGCATAAGCTTTGGTGGGCTACAGCCCACTTCTTCGGCTGCATAGACTGGAACACACAGAAAGAAGATATTTATAGATACAGAGAACATGAAAGGGTGGAAGTAGCCATACCAACTGTAAGAGGCCAATCAACTGAGATGAGCTATATGTTATAGACAGAGTGATCTAGGTGAAAGAGTCCTTGGCACAAAAAGAACAAGGTGGTTTAGACCGGTGACTTGACCCATCTGAATGAATACTTATTGATCAATGGTATTTCCAGTCTGACACTCGGTGCACAGGAATTACCTTCAAAAGCCCTTGATTGGCTCTCACCCTCTGACCTTTGGGTTCTCAGCACAGTGTCTGAATCCATCACCACCAGTTGTGAACTCTTATAGACACGTTTTTAAGCTACCTTTTCTGCTCTGCTGCTCTGGATTTGCTGAGTATCAGACTCTCTAATGCTAACATTTGATTTCTAAATTGTTGAAACTGGCCACTGCTGCATACTCAGGAAACACAACAGAGAAATCTCATTGTCTCAGGCATAGGGAACAATCTGCATGGAAAGCGGCTCTCTTCATTCTGAGTCTTGGTCTCCTGCTCACTGAGATATCCTATGGCATTTCTTCAAAATGGGAAAAGGGGCCAGAGTGAAACAGAGGGAGAATTGTAGAAACCTGCAGAAATCAGCTGGAAAACATCAATTGTATTTTAAATTCACCATAGCACCAATTTTCAGATCTGAATACACTCCATTGTGCACATTAATGGTTGGAAAATATGGTCTCTTTGGGGAATCATCAGGCTGCTTAAAACATGGCTATTTAATCTCTCAGAATGGAACTGCCTATCAAACATGTCTTTGAGAAGTGTAGAGGGGTGCTACTGCTGGTGGTGAATGAAGAAAAGCAGTTCTGTAAAATTATTGATAAACCACCACTGCCACTAGGAAAATTAGTGGGGGAGGAACAATAAGGATATTACATCTTCAAAACTCAGAATCAATCAAACAGATCTCTCAGGTCCTCATTATGAAAGATCTCGTCTACATGATGAAACTGACCAGAATAACGATTCTGAAATACCTCCCAGTGTGGACACTGTATTTCAGAATAATGGTGATTTTTATTCCACAATAATTACTCTGCTTTGGAAACACATTAGGTGACTTTTATTCTGGAACACAGTGTCCATACGGGGAGCTACTCCAGGAATTTTCCCAGTGAAGATAAGCACTTAGATGTTGAGCTAGTTGAGAAATAGTTTAGAAAAAAATGTCGCCAAAAATGCAGATTTGTCAAAAACAAAACTGTTTGTGTGAAAGGGTCAGTTTTGATGAATTTTCCAACTCAAAAAATGTTTGAAATTTTTTTTAATTGTCAAAATAGCCTGTCTTGACATTTTGGAAATGAAAAGTTTTGTTTTTTCAGTTCAAAATGACTTTTTGTTTAGACATTTAACTTAATTTATACTAAAAATGTTTTTAAAAGGGAAAAAAGGTCAACATCAAAATGAAATGTTTCAAAATTATCAAAACAAAATGTTTTGATTGACCTGAACTGATTTTTTTCCATGAAAATTTTCAACTTTTCATCCTGATTTGGGACAGGAAAAATGTTGAGTGTCTCAAAAAATTCTTGTGGGAGAGGAAAAGCATTTCCTGCTCTGCTCTGCTTAGATGCTTTTTGCACATATGTCCATACTGCACAGCTCTCTGGATAAATCCTGTGTTGTCTGGGCCTACTTTAGTGGCGTTTGTTACTAAAGACAACTGCATGAAAGTAAAAGTTCTGCCGAGGAGTTCAGGAATGACCATATTTATTTGTTTGGGCTTTTTTGCAGTCTGCACATGACTTCAGAATTTTCTCAGTCACTCATTCTGTGACATACTAATCTGCATTCAGACAGTGAGTGCTGATCAGAAGGTTATTAATTAGGAGACCTTAGAGCATTTCTCCCAACGCATTTTTGGAAGTTTTATGGAAACTTACAGCAGAGATGTAAATACCTGTATAGGCTGGCACTGAACGCAATGGGCTCTGGCAGCTCCCAGCAGCAGACCTGGAATAACAATAAAAAACTGAGACGAACACATGACTAATCGTCTTTCAAGCAAACTTAAATTAGAAACAGAAAAGTGTGGCTGGAGAGAACCATAGGTCTGTGCAGTCCATCCTTCCGGCCTTCCAGAGGAAAGGCCTATATTTCAGCAGGTACACGATGCCTAGGAATATTATTGCAAACTGGATGCCAGTGCCAATCCGTCAACAATGGGCCTTTACTCACCCCAGTAGCCCGTCCTCTGTCACTAGGCTGCCTGGGGCATACACTAAGTGTCATCTGCGCTTTGCATATTTCACATTAATGAGCCTGGAGGAGAGAAAGCGCTGTCTGATTGTACCTAAGCAGCGTAAGATGTGGGGGACTGACAGCTCTTTAGAGTCTTCCTCCCCGGCACCTAGCTCTCTTTGGTTGTTTGCAATAGATCTCAGGATGGGAGTGTGTGTGTGTGTGTGTGTGTGTGTGTGTGTGTGTGTAAGTAAAATAGGCTCACTTTTGCTCCGATCTTGCCCTAAAATTTCCAGCCGACAGTAATGAATGTCTTAGATGAGCATTTCCTCTTATTAGAGTTTGATAAATGGCCTGCCTGCTTTGTATCAGCTCAACAGGGACGTTTACAGCTGGAATGTAGCCAACACAGAGAGAGTTCATGCATTTTCTGTTGTCTGCACGAAATGAAATGTGTTACATTTTGAGTAGAGACCCTGATGATTTCCCATTGGTTTAATTGCTGTATGTCGCTGCTAAGCAATCCGCTAGGTTACCAATGAGTTGCTGTCCAAACTTCCATGAATTCCAATAATCCCTTTAGTAGCCAAACCTGTGTAACAAATGTAACTGATCCAGTTACAAGATAAATTGATCATAGCATCTTGATGACATTTCCTGTACTTTACCCAGAGGTAGTTTAGCAGATAGGGTCGCACTAGCGCTTGATCTTTCTCGTCCCTTTGCTCAGTATCTCTTACCAATTCCGGGAAACAGAGATTTAGCAAAGTAAAAACATGTTTATTCCTCCTAGCTCCTCTCCCCCACCCCAGCCCCTCCCACACCACTGAAGGGGCGTCATACTGCAGGCCAAAAGAGCCGTTAGGAAACCTGCTCATGTGGTAGCATTATAGTCTGTAATGTCATTAAACAGCATCAGCCTCTGAAGAAAAAGAATCCCCTCTCCCTCATGGCTCAGTTCTGTCAGCCTGACTCAGCTCTGTGCACACAGACAGCACAATGCCCAGGCCCACTCGTGCCCAGGGATTTCAGTGGGACCACTCATGCACTGGTTGCCCGGAGTCAGGGTACCACAATCAGGGCCTTACGCTGCTCCATTGTCACTACATTTGCCTGTGTAGTTAAAGGAGCTCGTAAATTGGTCTGGTGAGTCATAAACCACACGACGCCGCTGATGCTTTAATGTAAGATCAGCCAAGGGCCCAGCTGGTAGGAGAACAAGTTAATTCCAAATCCATGTATTCAGCCCCTGGAAGGAGGCTTCTGTTTTTTCTTCTTAGCTACACAACACCCCCGGGATGCAGTTGTGGGGGCCCCCTGGGCAGAGCTCTTTAGTGTGCAGGGAAGATAGGCACAAGCGGTGCTGGTATCTGCCCCTGTTCTCATGTGTAACCAGTCAGATAAAGAAGCAGAATCTCGGGATAATTAAAACCTTCCTATTAGATTTCACTCTCTACATTGCCCACCACCTTTTCCAACAACAAATAACGTGTGTCCCCTAAAGGAACCCTGAGTCCATTGAGAGTGAGAATACCCACAGCTCCGTGCGTCAGCCCATGAATGAAGGCTTCTGTAAGACGGCCATACTGCTGTCTTCCTTTAAAGAGCAAGAGAGAGCAGGAAATGCACCAAGCAACTGTGGATGGTCTGAGTGACCAGAAACCTCCATTCTCCATGTGGCTTATCGGAGTGGCAGATCCCTGTGTTAGAACGCTAGGGACAGCTGGAAGACTAGTCAAGGGGCTTGAGCTGAAATCAGTTAGATTCTGAATCCAGTTATTATTTATCAAAGTCAGGCTACTTGTTTTCCCCTGCAATGCCCAGGAGACTTTGCCACACCCTAGGGCTGCTCTCGCCCTTATCACGCTGCCCCCCGACCCTTCCACACCCTCAATGACACCAGCTCATTGACAGAGCCCAATAATCAGCATCTTACACCAACATCGACATGCATTGTTCCAGGGGACATACCTACGCTTCCCTGGGAAGGGATCCATTTTATTCCCTGCGGGGAGGGATCAGGTGTCCTGCATTAGCAGGAAATTCAAACTTTGTGTTCTGCAAGGATTCTCCAACCGTTGTTTCAAAGTGGCTGTTGGAGTGACTATTCCTGCTAGTCTCGGCACTTGCTGGAGTCACCCTGGAGAGCGAACCCCAACGGGCAAAATGAAGTTGGTGAAAAATGGGGATGGGTAGTTGGGACACTTCCCCCTTCACCAGCCCCACCGTAGTTTCTGCCTTTGACTCTTGTACGTACTGGTTGTAATTCTACCCAAAGCCCCCTTTGGCTGCACTTAGCTCTTGTCATTCTGATGCCCCGGATGCTCCAAACCTCGTCAAAGCTTTGGCTCACCTGTGTCTTGGACTCCGTATCGACTGTTTTCTTCACAAAGCACCTGACGGTGTGATGCCTGGCTGGCAGGTGAATGATGATTTAAGACCTCTAGGCATAGGAGACAGGTTAGCTGATGGAGCACAATTGCTTTCCTAAGGACGTTCTTTTCCTGCAGTTAAAAAGAAAAACATTATTCATGTTCAACTCGTCCGACCTGCGGCTCCTTAGCAGGCTACATTCCGAGTGTGCTATCCCGGGTTCTGAATCCACCTGTAACGTTGCTAAGTTGCTCTGGGCACCGGAGATTTTCAAAGATTTGCCAAAGGACTTGTGCAAATTACTGGATACAGTGAAAAGTGCTTCAAGTTGTGAACCCAGTGCAAAGTCTGTCTGTGAAAGATTGCTGCATGAGCCATCTTTGAGCATATGAACAGTGTGTAGCCCACAGCTGTCCTTGTGCTTAGAGGATTCTACTGGGGGGGGGAAAGCTTTATGAAGTTAATTATATGTAACAATACAAAAAACTCCATTTGGCCTAATGGACTTATATCAAAGGGTTCAAATCAGCCACCATTGTTAACTATGTATTCCTATGGTTTGTTTTCCTTGTCCCTATCCTGAAAGAAATCTTTCCTGAACCCTCTCCTCTGGCCTTCCAACAATCCCCCAACTTCTCCAAGCTCATCATCAGAAGCAAGCTCCCCACAGACCAGGACGCACCAACACAAAGCAGCACCAGACCCTGGCAGAACATCAGATGCAAAACCTGCAGACATATTTCCATTGCTACTATGATCAACACCTCCCACAACACACCTTTCAAGATCCATGGGTCCTACACATGCCTATCACAACACGTGCTGTACCTCGTCCAGTGCACTAAATGCTCCAATAACAACTGTATGGGTGAAACCAGACAATCACTGCGCTCTCGAATGAACTCACATGGGAAAATGATAAAAGACAAAAACACTCTATCACCTGTGGGCGAACATTTTTCACAAAATGATCACTCTGTATCTGACCTCTCAGTTCTCATTCTCAAAGGAAACCTTCACAACACTTTCAAAAGATGAGCCTGGGAGCTTAAATTCATAACTTTGCTAGACACTAAAAATCATGGTCTGAACAGACACACTGGATTTATGGTTGATTACAACAATCTGTAACCTGCTAACAACCCCGTCCCTTTCCTCCCTATGACTGGAGGGGTAATAATGGGCCACTTCACCCTGTATGGTCCTTTGAAATAGGTGTTTACTACTTCTGCTAAACAATCTGTTCCACCTTGTATTTAGTTGTGACTCTCTGAGTAAATCTCCCAGACTTGAAGAAGAGCTCTGTGTAAGCTCAAAAGCTTGTCTCTCACCAGCAGAAGTTGATCCAATAAATAAAGATATCCCCTTGCCCACATGGTCTCTCTGGCAAAGAGGTCAGAGAATGATCCAGTGCTGAGTTAATGGCTAATCGCTCTCCAAAACAGACTCGGTGACACGTATGTTATTCCCTCTGTTGATGGGACAAAGAACCAATGCAACACATTTGACCCTATGAAATTTACCGAGATAATCCCTGTAAACAAATAATGAAATGAGACCTAGCAGAAATGTTGATTAGTGGAATAGGATACAAATAGTTGAATTTGTGGATACTGCATTGGTCTCATCACCGCCCTCTTTTGGATGGAATCAGAACTGCTCGGTCATGTGTCATGAGTCTTATAGTGCTAACAAGTAAGGAAGATTCTCCTTTAGCACAAATGGTAGGAGCTGGGTGCTTTTGGAGCAAGAACTCCTGAGTCTTCTGCTGTCACCACAGAGCTCCTGGTGGGGACGTGGTGCAGTATAGTAACAAGTCCTTGTGTCCCTCAGTTTGCTACACTCTAGGGTGATATTTGATGGCCTCAGCTGCGTTTGTCTTTACAGTACCTTGCTGTTCCGACGTCTTTCATGTAATTTCTGATTTGACACCAGATACTTTACATCTTCAGCGCACGGGGCTTTGGGAGAGTGCCCCCTGCTGGACAGTATGTGATGAAAACAGCTCTGCCTGACACATTCTGGCATAAACATGCTGGCTGATCTATCTGGCTCTTCTCTTTGGACAGAATGGGGGGAGAATGTCCCTTTCTTCACTGGAAAGACAACTTTGCCCTGTGCGTGATTTTTACCATCCCCCTCATGATACAGCTCTATATATCGCTCAGAGTTTCAGGGTGAGGGGGAGACTGAGTCATGTCTTTGCTTCATGATTGCTGTCATCTGAACACTTTACATGTGCCTCTAGCATCATTCTGCAAGCAGCCTTTCACATCTAGCGTGGCCTACGTGCCCGTCTTGGCTTGTTATGTTACTGAGCAAGGTTACTCCTCTCCCGTTCAGACGCTGTCTAGTCTGAGAATACAGGGCCAAGATTCTAACACGTTCAATAGCGAACAGGTACCCAGTTCTACGAGCACCTCCTGCATGGGCTGGACCTTGGCACCTTCACAATTGTGCAGGCTGAGGCCTCAATGCACCCCTAAGAAGGTCACAAATGCTTGCAAGAAACAAAATCCTGTCTGAATCCCCGTTGTCCTCAATCAATCGGGGACACGTTCTTCTGAAGGACACTGCTTCACTGCCAAGTCTTCTGTGAATGTCCTGCCCTTGCGTTGTTATTGCACTGTCAAGCTAAAAATCCAATCACCCAGGAAGTGCGGCTGGATGGGAGCTCGAGTGACACTGTACGTCTCTAGTATGCTTTTCAGTCCGTTGACATTAGCGATGCATATTGCTTTCTACTGTGCACATTCATTGTTTGTACAGTGAGACTTTGGCAAATTGAGGTTAACTTTAATCTCTGATCTGCCAGGCTCTATTATGGACTTTATTTTTCACTTATTCCTTAACCAGCACTGTTTGCACCAAAATACGTTTTGATGCTAAAATTGCCCAGCCTGTGATGGAAAAAGATTGTGAAACATAGTGTGATCATAAAACTAATAAAGCATGTTATCTCATCATCTGTCAGATAACACGCTGCAGATGCTGTTTGCCTAGACAATGGGCCTCAGTCTTATTCTTCCTTTTATTAGCTGACGAGGAATAGAGCTGGCTCTGGGATCTCTCTGAGAGACAGAGCCATGTGGTTATGGAATGACGAGAGAGAATTTTCCATGCCTTCCAGCTGGGCCTGAGCTGACGGTACCTTCACAACTATCTGGCTGTGTCATTTGTGTCCTTCTTCTGCTTCCTATTGAAACGATGGAACTCAAAGGTGCTTTGGAACAAAGCAAATGTTAGCGAATCCCAAGCCAGCGCCAGGCTGAGATTTGGTTCTAAGATTAGGCAGAGGTTTGGGCAGGATTTTATCTACATCAGTTCACCTTGCTGACAGAAGGACATTCCAACTTGCCACTGGTAGAAGCTTAGGGACATAGGGTTCCCTGATTTGTTCCAAGTGCAGCCCCCGTGGCAGGCTGTCCCACAACTGGACACAGGACACTGGACTTGCTGTCTAATCCAGTCTGGTACCACTGAAATGCAAGAGGCATTTGGTTACTTCCACCTTCATGCCATTCCCTTCTGCAATTTGTATTTTCTTCCCAGCCGCTAACACATCTCCCCCAAATCCCACTCAGCCTTGAAAAGTTCCCTGGAGTGATTTTGCTCATTACAAATCAAAGGCCATTACAGCTACTGATTACAAAGACGTCTCGGAGTTTCTTAAGGAGTAACTGACTCACCGGGTGATGCGGATCCTTGCAGCAGGCGCTCTGTTTTTCCCTGTAATAGAAGACATATCTGCACAGCAATAGACATGCCATCTTGAATGTGTTTCGCAAGTGAACTAACCGTTTGTATCCCTCTATGGCTACACCTTAGTGCCTGGGACCAAACTCAGTTTTCATGTCCATGGATTAGGACTAAGTCCAGTTCAGGATTGGGTTCCCCCATTCTGGTTTGGGGTCTCTGGGAATTATTGGGCCACATCTTGGTCTCCGGATGCATTTTGATACGAGTTGCCAAACCCCTGATAAAGGTGCTTATCAGCATTGTGGTAAACCAAAGAAAACAGCTAAAGCTAAGAACAATCCTCAAGCCTAGAGGTCAGAGACCAGGATGAGACCTGTGTGGGGGAGATGATCCCACATCTGCTGACCATGAGGTACTTAAACCTGCCTCTGAAGCATCTGGCACTGGTCACTGTCTGAGACAGGACACTGGGCTAGACAGACCTGCGCTCTGATCCAGTCTGGCAGTTCCTGTGTTTTTATGTTCCTAGGATTTTTTTAAGAGATTTTTTTCCGTGCCCTCCCTCCCCCCTCTTTTTTTTAACCATAAAGCCCAGGTTGTTCCTGCCCCAGGTGACAGGTGAGCTAGTGACTTGGTGACATCACAAGAGCCAATAGTGAGGTCACAGCAGTGGCAGAGGGGACAGAACTGCCACTCAGCCTGTTCCAAAGTCCATTTTCATTCCCATGACTTCCATCTCAATGACCAAATTAACGTTTAGGAGAGGGACAGTTTTGTTAAAGCTTCCGCATCCCCATCTCTTCGCTTAAGGTGTGAGAACGCCAGCAAAAGTAGGCCAGAGCAGCAGTGACATTCCTGAGGAGGAAAAAAACTAGCAGGAAGGTAACATATCCCCACTGCCCCTCCATACTCCTAAGGACCCTGTCAGGCCTGCAGAGAGACGCTGCAAAGGGCACAGGCCCAATTTTTGAAAAGTCTTTCTGGCAAACTCTAAGCCATCTGACAACAAAGCAAGGGCCAGTATGTGCTCGCCCAGACCCAGTGCACTTCAGAGCCATAGGCCCAGTGTCAGTACTTGACCCCCATCCCCAAGTGTGATCCCAGTACCTGGGCTGGTGCAGTCATAGACTGAGAGATGGTACTATCAGCTCACCTAGTCTGACCTCCTGCAGAGCACAGACTAGAGAGAACCTCGCCCAGTTACCCCTGTCGTCCATTGCTCACTCATCCCCTCAGCCAAGTGCCTGTAAAGATTCCTTACTGCCCAGAACAAGAAAGTCAATCTCTCCACTGAGCAGAGCGGTTATGTGCTGTCAGTGGCATGCCGTTGAAGTGATCTCAGATACTCTGGGGTCTGGCTATAAATATATTCCCAAGCAATTCTCCTGCACTGCTAACACTGCAGTCCCATGTCGTAATATTTTTTACTAGTACAATTCAAAGTAAATCTCCAAAATGAATTATAAATAATTCACAGTGAATGTAGTGCTCCGTGGGCGCTAGCCCAGTGCGCTGGGTGGCCATTCTCGGAGGACGTAGGGGAGCCTTTCAGAATTTTTAATTGACAAACGCAAGCTGTGAAAATCCCCCAGCTCCCGTTTTACCTCTTTGATGAAATGTTCCATGTGAAGTCTTGAAATTTCAAACCCCAGATCCAGGCGTATTTAGGTTTGTCAGCAACAGCCAGCCACTGCCCCATGCAGCTCGGAGATGAAAGAATTGTTGCTTGGATTTAGAGTACTCAGAAAAAATGTCTTTGAAAGCCTTCGTTATCCTGACACCACTATTGAAATCTGTTAAAATCGTTTTGCAATGAAGAATAGGCTGCATTTGGTTTAGCCTTGTTATTTGTTTATTTTTAAATGCCCTACTCAGGGTACAAATCAGACGCGTGCAGGGTGAAATGCATTCCTGTGCTGAGACCCGGCAAAAGGCATAGACACGACTTCAGTACTGCTTCAGCCTAGGGGTGCACATACACATTCCTCCCAGGTTACTGCCATCCAATACCAAATAATTACTGTCCTGCTTGTAGCTTGTATCCC